ATTTAAAAAAGAGAAGTTAGGGGGAGAAGATTCAATAAGAGGGGCAGAGTCACCTGCATTTAGCCATGTTTCAGTTAACATGAAGAAGTCAAACCTATTGGACGTGATGAAATCCTGGCAAATAAAAGACTTGTTTGAAAGAGACTTGATATTAAGCAGACCAAAATTAACAGTATGTCCAGTGATAGGAGTTACAGCAACTAGATTACGTGAGTTGTTACAGTTTACAGGATATGCAGTTTTTCTGTTAAACCCATTAGAAGAACAGACAATGGGGTGCCAACAGAGGTACGTTTTTAACTGATTACTAGCAAATGTCAGGGTAGCATTAAAACACACCAATCCCAATTCATCAATCTGGAAGCTGTATTAACACCTGACACATGACACAGCTCTTCCTGAAACCATCTTGTCTAAAATACTCACAAAACTCAAAAACATAACTTTTTAAAAATAAAAATATATACAGATTTATCATCACAAATTGAGTTGGCCTTTTTTAGTGACAGTTTTCTATACCAGTGCACCAGAATGTATTTGGATTTGTCAACATAAATAATGTGCACTGGAAGTTTGTGGTGAGTATGCAGCTATTTATGTCGTAGCATGCACCTTCATATTATTATATGACTCTTGACGTCAACATTTTAAGGTCATTTACCCTACAATCAAGATTTTTTAAAAAAAGAAAAAAAAAAGGTCTTGTAACTTTTGTCTTTCACTACAAAATGACTTTCAGTAAATGCACTTTCAAAAGTGTATTATTGTCAACGTTGGTTTTGAAGTCTTGCATAATTAAAGCTTAATTATATGAGTGCTGTTCCTGATTATTGATTGATAAGTACTTTTCTTCAACAGTATCTCCATGCCCTTTCAAACCACATTTTTGTGGTTGATCCTCTGCAAGGGTCAAATGAAGATGAGGACTCCAGAAAAGCTGGCCAAAGATTTGGATAATATGAAAGAGATTTTTGATAATTAGAACATACCATAAAAATATACCTGTGCAGAAATTAATTGCAAAATGAATCCAAATTGGTTTTGCTTCACTCCTGTAGACAGTATTTCAAGATGCGCCGTAATAGACTTGGAAAAGAGGACTGGGTGGACATCAAGTGGCCGCCTAAGCAGATAACACACACCTTCCAGAAAGACAGCACCAGCTGTGGAGTCTTTGTCATGCAGGTGATGTTAAGCTAAATGTTATGATATAATTGATTAGACAAAATGTGTGGTACTGTTTAGTTACAAACATAGTACCTGTGTTTTTTGTCATCTATACAGATGGCCAAGATGACCATAATGGAGTTTCCAAAGATACCACAGACATTTCAAATTAAATCATCCAAAAGGTCTATGCAGAAACTCAGAGGAGACATGGCGGAAGAAATCCTCAGAGGATCCGGTATTTTTTGTATATTATATTTTAATAAATACAATGTTAGGTCCTTACTGCAAACATAACATTTAAATATTTTATCTATTTCTATTATTAGTTTCAAAAGATGACTTCTGCTCCTTCTGTGGAAATGGGGACCATCCCAAAACTGCTGTAGCTGCTGTTTGGGTGAGACATACTTGTCTAACTTTCCAGTGGGTTAATAATAAGTTAATTATCTATGTTCAGCGTTAGGAGGCGTGTGTTGTAAAAGTGAAGATCTCACGAGAGTATGCGTGACTTATGTTACCAATTAAGTAAGCCTTTTATCTATATTTTATCATCATCAGGACTGGTACGCTTGTCGGTGAGTTTTGATTATTTGTTCTAAATGAATATGTTAATATACAAACTATTGTAGCCTCAAGTTTGTAATTATGCTTTTATGTTTGTGTTGCAGGTTTACAACCTACATAGTGGTGTGAATGTTTATGAGCGATTTCAATAAAGGTGAAATAAATCCTGAGTTGTTTCCGCCGTACTTTTTCTGACAATCCTTCCAGAGGGGAGTTTACAAAGCCTTAATAGGAAAATTCTGGACAATAATGTTCAATTGTTCTATTGTATACAACATCCCTTTATCATCTGGAATGCGGATAA